CCCTTTCTTCTTTCCATTACTCCATTGTTATTTCATTTTTTTATTAGCATTTTTCTTCTTGATCATTGTAATTTATTTATCTTTTTTATTTATTGTTATTGTTTTTTTATTTGTATCACTACATTAAAATAAATACAGTGATTTTTTTCGTTAAAATCGAAGATGTGTGACTTAAATTTAATATTTGCAAATAAAATTTCAATAAATAAATCGATTATTTTAATAAATGTGTTTGCAAAAAAATTTTTAAAATATTTTCGCAATAAAATTTTAAGTTTAACCGATTACCTTACATTCTGTACCTTATATAAGGGGAGTAACGTAAAGTAAATATAATTGACTTTACGTTCCGTGCCTTATATAAGGGGAGTAACGTAAATTGGCCTAAAACAGTAATTTTACGTTACTTACTTAGCCAATTTCCGTTACTTACTTACTACCTGCCGAGCGTTAGTAGTTCATTGTCAGCTAAAAAGCAGAAATTCTAACTTCACCAAAAGTATTTTATTTATTTTTTTTTTTTGCAGTATGCCAAAAACCGGAATACTCAAAAGAATTAATTCTACCCAAAATTCTCATTTTTTCTTTGCCGTATTAACTACAAATTCTCTAACTCTTTATCTTTTATATCCTAAATCAGGATATTAGTCGAAACCTATTTTTACATGGAATATAAATACACAGAACGGCTCACGCTTTCTTAAAATTTAAAAATGACCAATAAAGGAGTCTTAAAATCTTTGTCGATGAATTAATAACTTAGGACAAAACTTGAACCGATCGACGAACAAGAAATGTTATTTGGTCAGTATTCTCTCATTTAGTTCATGATTCAATAAGTTAGTGTTATTCCTGTTCTGCTGGTATGAATATCTTTGTCTGCCGTGCACATTTATTTTTTATGTGACATATTGACTCAGTAAAATTCTCGTCCCCGTACGTTGAACCCTTATCATTTTAAATCTTTATAACAATAGAACAGAGTATTCGGTTTCTTTTCATATACCAAGCAGTACGTTATATGCACTCTTTTTTTTATTGCCGTGTTTATGCAGTGTTTTATCACAAATTATAATAACCTTTTTTTTTAATTTCATTTACTTATTTTAATTGCCGTGACAAAGTAACAACCAGAACTCCACATGCATGATGGTCGACAGTCAATTTTGTATAATGTCCGCTTCGCTCCAGATAATAAATTTCACATTTCAATTATCGATATCTTGAAGTTAACCTCTTTTCCTGAAATTTATTAGAAAATAAAGTGCCAAGAGGAGTAAAAACATGTTTAGTGGCGCGGCTTTTAATATTAAATGCCAAATCGTTTATTATAATTATAACAAGCTTTTTTTTTAGGTCAAAACTTGATAATTTAATTTAATTTTTTTTTTAACTTGATAATTTTAATTTTTTTTTTTATTAACTTGATAATTTTAATTATTTTTTTTTTTTAACTTGATAATTTTAATTTGGAAAATTATTAAATAACGAGGTAAATATTCAATGAAACTAGGCCAAGCCAAAATTGATTAATGCAGCATGACAATAGATTGGCTGATATTAGATTGGCAACATGTAACCCAAACATGGCTAATATACAGATGCATCTGCAATTAATTGCAACATTTATGCATTAACAGGCTACGGGCTAACTGTGCATGCATCATGCATGCAATGAAATAAAATATCCTGATCAGAATTCATGCTGCTAAAAAAAGTTTTTTTTTTTAAGAAAATTAAAAATAAATAAAATTTCATTATTATTACTTGAATGACAAAATGGCTTCGGTAAAAAAATGGATTGAGAAAGAGATAAATAATGAGCACATTCGTTATTTTGAATATAATAAATTTAGTCAAATCATTGAAATTGGTAGTGGAGCTTTCGGTAAAGTGAGTAGAGCGAATTTTGTTGAAACGGGATTAGTGGTCGCATTAAAAATTCTTTTTAATAAAAGTTCAAAAGAAATTAATGAGGATAATGATGAGCTTGTTAATGAGGTAGAAATCACTTTTTATGTTGTATTATCTTGGTGTATGTATATATAATATTAATATTATTATTCATTTTGTTTAGGTAAAACTCCTACGTGAGGTTGATTATCATGAAAACATAAATCGTATTCTGGGAATAACAAAAGGTTTATGTTAAGAATTTTTTTAAATAATTTATTTATACAATTCAGTCTAACTTAATTTATGTTTAAAATTAACAGATTCTGAGAATTATGTTTTGGTGTTGGAATATGCTAATGAAGGGAATTTAAGAGATTATTTGAAAAAAAGATTTGATTCCTTAGAATGGAATGATAAAATTCGAATGGCATTGGATATTACTAATGGATTGAGATTTTTACATTCCAAAGAAATAATACATAGAGACTTGGTAAAAGAGTATTTACTTAATAATATTTTGTTTTTATTTTTGTTTTTGAAGATAATTTTAATAAATACTGTACAATCATTTCTAGCACTCAAAAAATATATTAGTGAATAATAGAAAATTATTAATCGCAGACCTTGGATTATCTAAAAAGTTGAAAGATAGTAATCCACTGGGTAATGGAAAGGGGGTGATTGAATATACTGAACCACAACTTCTTAAGAATATCAAGTATAAAAAAGACAAGAAGTCCGATATCTATAGTTTAGGCGTTCTATTATGGGAAATTTCAAGTGGGCGCCCTCCTTTTTCTAATTATTCACATGATAATACATTAGCTCTTCGCATTAGTCATGAAAATCTTAGAGAAGATCCAATTGAGGGTACACCTCCAAATTATCAAGAACTTTATCAAAAATGTTGGGATGACAAACCAGAAACAAGGCCCAATATTAAAGAGGTATATGAAATTTTAATTCGATTAAACCCTAAGGATCCTTTTGATACACAATATCCACCACCTAATACACGCGATAGTAATCCGGATATTGACAGGTTCTATATTTCTTCTAATTATCTAAAACCCAGTAAGTATAATTTGTTAATAACAGTAAATTTTACTACATAATGTCAATACTGAACATTACCAAACTCAATTATTCTAATAACTAGGAAATTTGCTCATAGTTGGGCGTGCTTTGACATTATCCAACGTATTATGTGGTACTGATGATATTGGGAAAAATGGATATACAATTAACAATATTAAAAATTTACAGAAAAAAAATTTCGTGTGGAATGGATCAATATATAATGTGATTGAAATTGTATTTGAATCAATTGAAAAGAAAGTTTATGATGAAATGAGACATTTGATGCCAGAAGGGATAAGTCAAATTTTATTTGTGGTTGACAAAAGTTTTACGACAGAAGAGAAGGCAATGTTTAAGTTATTTAAACAAGTTATTTTTGAAAGTGGTATTCTTAAATATGTTACTATTGTTAAAAATGAATTTGATAATTTTAAAAATGTGCTTGAAGAAAATGATATAATCGCCGAAATAGCTAAGTCATGCAATGATACCATTTGCATAAAAAATCCTCCAATATTTACTTGTGATGAAGATGAAAACATTGTTAATAGAGATGCAAGGAAAAGGTCAAGAGATATATTACTAAACTATTTGGAGAAAGAATGTCAGGAAGAATATTACAAATTAGAAAAATGTGATGATTTATTTAGTAAGATTGTAGTGGAAAAAGCAAATACTACAAGTAAGTAAATTTAATAATATTGATTAGTATTAGAATGAATTTTTACTAATAATCTGTTACTGATATTGGTAGAAATTGCAGATCTACAATCTCCACATCTTAGTATTGATGATAACGGCTTACGCGTTAAAGATAGTCGTAAAAAAGAACCAATTGAGGGTTCATCTCAAGAATATCAGAATGGTGAACCAAAGTCAAGTCCTGATATTGAAGGTATATAAAATTTTAAATACAGATACAAAATAATTTAATGTAAACAACGAATTTAAAGAAAAACTGATGAATTTAGTTTAATTATACTAGATAAGCATAAATTGGAAAAAAATTATAAATCAATTTCAAAATCAAGTGAAAGAACTACGGATATAAATAAGAAGTTATCAGTAGATTTAGATATTAACGTAAAGCCTGAGAGCAATTCGAGCTCACAATACCAAACATCTGTTGTTCAATCAAAAATGTCAGGTAAGGTAATTTATATTAATGTGAATATTTTTGAAAATAAAATATTTATAAACTTAAATCAATTTACAGATGGCAAACAAAAAATTTCAAAAGAACAAGAAAAGTTTAATACTCAATACTCGAATGAGAAAGAGATAGTTATTGATGGTAGCAAAAGCATAATTAGTTTTTTAAAATTCGAATTTACAAAACTAGAATTCGAGTTTAAAAATTTAGAAGGTTTTTTAAAAATAGAAGGCTTTAATAATTTAGAAATTATTAGTTTGAAGGATCTTAAGTTAAATAGTTTGAAAATAAATAATTGTTCTCAACTTAATAAGGTTGACTTGTCTGAACTTACTGAACTTACGAGTTTATCTGTAAGAGATTGTCCAAAACTAACCACGGATGGTTGTTCGCTAACTAAGTTAATTAGTCTGAAAAGTTTGAAAATAAGCAATTGTTCTCAATTCAAAAAGATTTTTAACTTGTCAGTATTTCCTAGACTTGAATGTTTATCTATTATTGAATGTTCAAATCTAACCATGTTTGATTGTTCACCATCTGGGTTAACTTATTTAGAAATAAGTGATTGTTCTCAACTTAATCAGATTACTGGATTTTTTAAGTTTCCTAAACTTACGAGTTTATCTATAAGAAAGTGCCCAAAATTGACTAAGCTAGATTGTTCATCAACTAAGAGGTTAGCTGAGTTAGAAGTTAGTGATCTTGGTGAGCTCAATTGTTCGAATACTAAAATTGAGGAATTAAGTCTTAATCTTTGTCCGAATATCAAAAAACTCATTTGTTTAAATAATAAAAAATTAAATAAATTAGATTTAAGTAACTGTTCCAACTTAGACTTTCTTGATTGTACTGGCAGTAAATTAACTAGTCTTGACCTAAGTTATTGTCCCAAATCTATCGAGGTAGAAACTTCTGACCAAAAACAACACTTGATTATTACTCGAAAAATTGAAAACTTCAGGAATATATTAATGGTTGGTCGCACTGGTGGTAGTAAATCCACATTGGTTAATGTTCTAACTGACACTAGGAATTTCAAGGAAAGCGCTTACACAGTTAGTCAAACTAAAAGTTTTAATAAGATTGATTTTGAATGGAATGCGAAAAATTTTCGCGTAGTTGATACTATTGCAGTTGGAGGTTCTAAACTAAGTACCGAGAATATTTTATTTAAAATAGCAGAAGGAATCCTTTCAATGCCAGAGGGGATAAGCCATGTTTTATATGTGATTGATGGTAGATTTACAGGAGACGAAATAAACACATTTAATATGATTAAGGATTCTATTTTTAAAAGTGGTATTCTTGATTATATCACCATTGTGAGAACTAAGTTTTCTAACTTTAGAGATAAAGGAGAGTGTGAAAAGGACGTGAAACAAATGCGCGAAGAAAATAAATTAGTTGCTGAAATAGTTGATTCATGTAATGGTGTCATTCACGTGGATATTCCAGATATTGCTAAAAAAGATGATGATGATGATTACGTTAATAATGCCCGAAAAATGTCAAGAAAGAAGGTGTTAGACTACTTGGAAGAAAAATATAAGGATGAATATTTCAAATCAGAAAATTGGGATGTATTATGTAATAAAATTGTTGAATATATACGAAATTATAATTTACAAGAGTTGGAAATTGACCCAGATATTCTTAAATTGTCTGAACGAGGTTTTTTTCTAAAAAATAACATTTGAGAATAAAATAAGAAGAATAATTTATGTTTGATGCTTTCGTTTTTCCAAACGTTTATGAAATTGAATTAATATTTTAGAAATAGGATAAGAAATTTATACATCAAACAGTTTACTAAACAATAAAGTGATATTTTGCATTTATTTAAATAAAAATAAATTAAATCAGTTATCAATTTTACTAATGAAAGATTATTATGGCAAACAAAAGCATTATTTTTTAACAAAATAAAAATAAATAAAAGAAACACTACTATTATTATTTTAAAGGAAAGCCGTTTAAAAATATATACCATACGATAAAAATAACAAAGACATGACGTAAAACCACTAGAACTTCATCACCTTCAACCGTTCAAAAAAGAAAATCTAATAGCTTACCGCAACTGTACTGTTGAAGCCAGCTAAATATTAGTCCTTTTTTCTAAAAAAAAAATATTTTTATCTCCCTTTAGTTTTTAAAAAATTTTTTTCTATCTTTTATTTTCGCTTCGTAGTTTTTTATCCTACCTATTTTTTTCTTTTAATAAAAAAAAAAAATTTTTTATTTATATTTTATCTGTTTTTTTCTGCTTTCTTGTAGCATGCTTGACTTTTTTTGTAAGTCAACCATCATGACTTTTTTTTTATGGGAGTGCTGGAACAGGAATTCTTTTTTTTATAGGATGTCATCTCTTTTCTTTTAGTAGGGACGCGGGGCAGGACTTTTTTCCTTTTGTGGGACACCGATTTTTTTTGTAGAGTACTGAGACTACTTCCTTTTGAAACTTCTCTTTATAGAAACACCAACTCTTGGAGGCTTGAATAAACCTGAACTCACTGTAAATATTAAAAGGAACATAGTAACATTTCTTTAGACAATAGGGTAAGCGTTAAAAATAATTCTAGCATAAATTCCAAATAAACATAAGCATATTTTGTTAAAATTTAATCAATACCTCGGTATAATATTAATCACTCTGCCTCTAAAAATCAGTTGCAAGACAAACATTAGAATTATGTAAATTCTTTTAATTGTTCCTCCCAATTTTTAGGAACTTCATCATCACCAACTTCCGTAACAACTATATCATCTGATATAGAAAAATCCTTAATCCAAACATCACTACCTGTACCATCTGATGTAGTAAAATTCTTAAACCAAGAATTATAAGTTATAATATAAATCCAAATAAAAGTAAGTTACAAGACAAACATTTGAATAATTTAAACAATACCTTTTGATTTTCTACTTCATATACATAAATTTTCTTATAAATATAAATACTTGATATTGTAATGATGTTTCTGATGATAGTTTGAAACTATTGTTAATCCCTTTGCGAGGTTTTGGTTTATCATTTGGTTCATCATCAGGATCCAAATAAGTTTTTAATAAATCCATATATAATTCCTTCGGTAAAATTTTTTTATAAGGTACCACATTGCGAAAAAATTCTCTAGAAGTTAAATTATAAAATCTGACATAAGGAATACATTTTTGTAAAGTATTCTTTGGAGAATTAAAATCATCTTTTGAAAAATTGGAAAGATTTGAAGGAAAATCAGGATTTTGAGTAAAACCCCACTTAAGAACATTTTCCCATACTTGAATTTCATTCATTTGAAGATTATCACTTTGGATGAGTGAAACTAAAAGATTTTCAGGAATTGTAGAAAAATCTAAAGATTTAAATATCTTATTTGGATTGTTAGAAATTAAGTTAGTACAATAATTTTGAAGTTCCAAGAAAGAATCTTTTTCAAAACTTGTTTGATATATCAAATTAAAATTTTCTTCCATCCAATCCGCTTTATTTTTGGTCAAAAAGGATTGTATATAATCGACCAATTCTTGAAGACTTAATTCACTGGCAGCAACCAAAATTTTGATGATAACTAAAGGATCATATTCTTCCAAAGATAATTTCCCCCATAAATATATCTAAAATAAAAAAAAAATTAATTCACATTCAAAAAAAGATAAAATAATAATTTTTTATATAAAACAACAAACCTTAAAATTATTTGAAAAATTTCTGGTAAAATATTTGGTAATTTAATTTGTATTAAAGTCCCATCATTTTTCTTTTTATTAGTTGATAAAATTCTTCGCAAATAAGAAGAACGATAATTAATAATGACCATGTGAGCTCGGAATATTTTTATGTAAGGGTCATCACCAACTTCAATAGTAATATCACAATATTCGTCATCATACAATATCTCAAGTAAATTTTGAGATAATTTTTGTAAAAGCTTATCATCCATTTTTAATAAATTTTAATAACAGATAACGTTTTTAGTAAAAAAAAAAAAATAAAATTTATTGTGGGAATTTAACATGAATGGAACCTTATATAACCGGGCCGGGTAAAAAAAAAGCCGACTTATGGTTCCCGAAAAAATTTCGCAGAATTATAAATGATCGATGCTGCGAATTTCTATATTAAGAAATGCTAGGCCTGTTTTTGTTCCTAATCGCTGGCCATTGCGAAATTTTTTCTGGATCGCTTATGGCTTGATGTCCAAATATAAAATATACTGTATATTGCAAAAAGAAAAATAATAAAAAATGCGTAGTTTGTCTAGTTTCTCAAGTTTCTCAAATACAATATATATATACTAATGATCAAATAATTTCTTAAATTAAAATTCTTTGAATACACCACAAATTATCAGCTTCACGCCAATGATTACAACGCTGATTGTGCGTATTAATATTTTCTCGACTAATAGACTAATAATTAATATTGTTAATAATACGGTACATAATTATTTATTAAAGATTATTTTTAAATAATGTTAAACTGTTGGATTAACAAATAAAATGTTATTATTTTATTTAAACCTTGAATATATATATATATATATGTATGTAATACATTTTGTAAAAAATAAATAATAAAAAAAGTTACATCGAATATCATATATATAACCTTATAAATACTTTTTTATAAAAAAAAAAGAAGTTAATAAAATAAGTCGTTGATAAAAAAATTGCTTAGCCTAATAAATATTGACTTAAATATTTCTTTAAATGACATTCAAGATATTCTTTTTGATCAAAAGTTAGTACTATATGCTCTTGTTCCATGTTTTGTTGAAATTCAACTCCAAGAAAATTTTTACTCAAACAATTATTGACCAAGAGAGGGGAAACAATTTCGCATGATACTTGATAAAGTCGGTTATTACATTGTTGCTGATAATAGAAAATACATTCATTTTCATTAGGTTGAACGCTACGTTCTTTTAATGATTTATTTAATAAGTATGCAACGATATCGTTTGAGATTTCCTTGCAAATAACATGATAATGATAATAATCGTTTGGTGGTCGAAAGAAAAAAACAGTAGGATGAACGGGCTGAGTTTTAAGATTTGCGGAAGAATCGGGTTGTACACATAAGTTGTTTACTGTTGGTTGAGACTGAAAGTAAGGAGACTGCGACACATTCTCGCTCGGGGTAGTTGAACTTTCTTGTTTTTCATGAGATGAAACAGGAGTATCCTGTAGATTGTAAGAGGCAGAAATAAAAGGATGTTGGTTGTTTCCTGAGTCAGAAAACTGACCTTGCGAATTCATATCTAAATGATTCGTGAGGTAATAGTATATAAAACGATTTTGAAATGTTTTGTAATTAAGAGAAAAAAATTAGTAATTTTCTAAAAAAACTATACTCAATTTATATCTTTATAATTGATATACACTAACCGCTTAATGTGATATGATATCATATATAAACTGCAACGTATAAAAGACTTATGATATTCAAAACATTGTCGTTTAAGGCAAATTGTACATACATTCTTACTATTCACGACTAGTTTAAAGATGTTAAGCCAGATTTTATTTTTTTTATGTATGACTAATTTTTGTACCCGTGTAATATTTGTCAGGTAATTTGTTACACTAATTGATTAACATGACTCGTACGTAGAATGAAAAAGGAAAAGAAGGCTAAATTTGTGGATTACTTAATTATTCTTATCAAAGTATTTTGTTTGCCACAATTAAATACAGTTCGTGAGGTTTTATGTTTTTTGTTTGTATTTATTTTTATTTGTATATTTTAAAATCTTAAAATTAACAGCCTTTATGAACGCGGATTTTTTACGTTCATTTAATATGACTGACTATACGATATTTAAAATAAACTTTCAAAGAAATGTTATTCAAAGAAATATTTATCTTGGAGGTTTCTAATTTTGATCGTATTAAAGTTTGTTAAAATATCTGAAAAGATTAAACATAATAATATGATTAAGTAATCTTTCGAACTATCTAAAAAAATAAAACTCTTTGCAATTACGATCCACACAATCAATGTAGTATGGCCAAGAAACTACGACGAATGAAAATATCCTTAGCAAATATTTTCGTACTTTCGTAGTACAGTAGTTTATCCAAGAATTTTACTTTGGAAATTGGATACTAATCCCTAACTATCCTTATTAATCATTATTTCATTATTTCATGCTAATGGATTCAAGCGACTTTAAACATACTAATTTTTCAAAGTAACAGTCCTAACTCCAAATAACATTCGTTATTCAAAGATAGCCGATTAAGGTACCTTAAAATCAGTTAATTTAGTTAAATTACAAACATAACAGTTTCACAAACATTTTTTATTAGTCATATCGATAGATTTATGTAAAAAAAATAAAAAAATTAAATTGATTTTAAATAAATTTTATTAAGAGTGGCTATTTAACATGGATGATAACAACTGAATGATGATTTTTCTGAATATATTAACTATAGGAATGTTTGAAGAATCTTTATCTGGGTCGTCAAAGCTTTCATCTTACATTACAATGTCGTAATTTTTGGAATCAACAACTAGTAATCAGCAGCAGCAAACAAAAAATTAAAATTATCTTCTAAGTCCGATAAAAGCTTAGCGTTAGTATATATTAGTCTAATAAATTTTTATTTTCTATATTTTTATTTTTTAACGCTATTTATAAATATTTCTTGTAATTGATTATTTGTATAAATAAATATATTTCGGAACATTAATTATGTCATGTATATTACGCGAAAAATTATAAAATGTTAATGACAGTTAAATTATTAGAATATAAAGGATGTGTATTACTAGTTGAATGTGTATACGTAGTTTTATGTAGTTAGTATCTCTGTATTAATAATATATCTTTTCAATAAGTTGTTAAAATATAAATAAACTTACTATAAATTTAAAATTTATATATTAACTGGTTAGTTAACCAATTAATCTTATTATAAATTAACCGATTAATTAATCGATTATTATTTGATTATGGTAGCTGGTTAATCGATTATTAATCGGTTGAAGTTTTTTCGGTCGGTTCCAACCTCTAACGTATTAAAAAAATACATATTTGACCATCTGAGCAGGTATTCTCACGTTGAAGTTGAATCTAGTTAATAAATAAATTATTACATCAAAAAACTTAAATTATAATAATAATGAAAAGTGGTTGACATTATAATTACCTCATGAACTAATGCTTTGACTATAGCATCATTAATATTAAAAAAAGATTTTATTGCATAACGCTTATGAGAATTCTTCCAATTAGCACGACAAACTTTTCCAAAACCACCAGAACCAATTTCTTGAATATTATAAAATTGGTTATACTCATAATACTTAATAAGTTTTTTAGAAATCGCTTCTTCAATCCATTTATTCCAATCATTTGAATTGCTAACAAGTTCAGCGTTATTAGACATTGTTGGGTACGAAAAAATTATTACTGCAGAATTTAAATTTATGCTTTTCGAAAATTGAAAAAAAAAATAGAAATATTTTTTTTGTTCAACTATNAAATTGAAGAAATATTTTTTTTTTGTTTCAACTATTTACATATTTATAATTTTTTAAACTATTTATAAATATGGTATCACTGAACGCCAAAGGTAACTGTCGATCATTTTACTTCTTAGGTGAATGGTCCGCCTTCGAACAATTAATTATATGTTTTTCCATTATTGCAGTCTTTCCAGGTCGAAAAGTTTGGACACAAGCTGAACATGTTGCAGCATAATGTCCCTTATCTACTTCATCCCCTTGTTCAAAAAATCTCCAAATAGGTTTTTTTGTGCGTCCACCAGAATTGGTGGACTTTAATTTTTTTGAAGTTGAAGGTGCACTATTATCAGACATTTCTTAGAGAGTTGTAGTTATAAAACGAAGTTAACAAACACGAAGGAAAAAGAGATTATCAGTTATCACCGACTCACTGTATCACATAATCTGTCTAGTGATCAACTGATCAATTTATATTATAGAAAATTTGAAAAATCAGAAAATTGGGATTCGTTTTGGAAAATCAGGATATGTTTCAGATATCGGAAATGGTTTCGGGATTCGGTGAGAGTTTATGTTTCGGGTCAAGTTTTTATTCGTATATACCAAAACCTGAAACTTTCGGAAATGCTTCTGGAGGTTTCGATACCCATGTTTAGAGTACTGATAATAATACCCAGGTATTTGCAAATTAAGAGGTGAATTTATAAAATACCCATGTACTATTGTCAGTGCTCTACGGTATAAATAACTGAATAAAAGCTTTCAAAAATGAAAGAATAAATTTTCTTGTAAGAAATAAACGTCTAAAACCTTTAATATGGTGAACCTAATTTAAGTATTGGGATATTTTGTTAGATACTGATTACATGAGGGTTATATATAAGTTTGACCAGAATCAAACGCTGATTTGCCAGCATTAAGGAGAGGATATATCATACATATTCACTGTATATAAAGTCATTATATATAAGTTCTTTAGTTCATCTGTGACAAAGAAATGGTTTATAAGTTCGTGTATAATAAATTTAATATGGAAAGTCGAGTAAAATGGAGTCTTTAGTACGAACTTATCAGAATGCTGAGTGTATTAGTACAGTACGGTAATACAAATTAGTACAGTCGCTCAAAAATAATAATTTGATTTTTGTGTACTACTCAGACAGACCTTTAAAAATAAATTTTGATTTTTCGTACTAATAATTTTATATCATAACTTCAAGTGATTATAATTTAATTTTTTTAGGTCAGTAAAGTCTAAATTGTATATTGCAGACGATAATCTAATGTAAGAAATTATTGCCAAAAACATTTATTTTTTAAAAAAAAGAGCGAAGTAAGAGTATTTTCATAATAAAGTTTTTTCAAAATACTTCTAAAAAATTAATTAATTTCATTTTACACTCAAATGTCAAATCATTAATATAAATAGCTACATTACTGTAAATACTGTATCTAATATTATAAATATAATTTAATACATATTTATTTTATTTTTTTCTGTTAGCTAATTATTACCATATTAAATCCTAATTATAAATAAAAGACTACTGTAACCATCTTTAATATACTTAGTAATACTAAATTTTTCTATTTAAACAAACTCATTGTGTGACTGCTAGTCATTTATTAACTTTATTAATAATGATAGTCATAAAATATTTATTGTAAAAATATTCTTTATTCATAAATAAATTAAACTAAGCTAGTCTGGATCTAGAGACTCAATACCATCTATTTCATCATCCTCCTGATAATATATCATTTCCTGTAAAAGGACATCAGGAATACATCCATTACTGGTTAGATGTAACCACTTAATAATATGTTCTGCAGCCCTCATGCTAAAAACTTCAGTGATAAATGCTTTCAATTCATCATTACTTGTACTGCCAAGATGTGAGATCATTATCCCTGTCTGTAATAGTATCTTTTTATCAATGTACAGTAAAAGATATCAAAGACATAATGCAGTCTGATGTATTTCAGTACCCTCATCTTTTCTGGGCATTTGTATTATCCCCTTCCAGGATAATCTTTCATTTTTCTCTTCGTCCAGCTACCAGTGTAGATGCCAGTGCAAGCTTAGTGCATTCACAATGAACATAGTTATAAAGATAGATAGTATTTCCTCTTTACAAATTCTGCAAAAATAAAGTTTTGAGGATTAAACTCCTCTGGAATACAGTTAGGACTTTCATGAAAAATAATTTTGTACGTGAACCCCTTTAATATTCAGAAATCTATAATAAAAATTTAGTTGATTAATTAATTATTATTATTTATACAATCATTGCATCACTAATTACTTAGCCTTTTAAGTTGTTTAATTATACATTTCTAGTATTACTGCAAACCATTTCTGTTCCACTCTGATTCTACCTGTTTGAAAAAAAGTAAGGTTAATAGTGCACCATCTTTTTTATTTAGTGATAAGGAATAACAGTCTTTTACCAATGACAAAGTTTGGGTGCCCAGCCATACACCTAAAACTCAAGTGGTTATCAGTAACAGTGCGTGGTAATTTTTCTAAGTCAGGATGAGAGCCAACTAGGAATTAACCACTCTCTATAAAATAAAAAAATGCACCTTTTTTTCCAACTCAGCAAAACCTTGGCTTAACTTTTGTGCCTCCATCAAAAATTGCAGGACCAGGAAATATCAAGATCATCTCAATTTGAATTGGAATATGGCAACTATGGTGTTATGGTTCTGCTCCAAAAATTCTCTATACGACCAGTTTGTTCAAGATTCCAAGTACTGTACATGATGAGAGCTAAGTTGAAGTTGGCTTGAGACCTAAATGAAAATTACTATAGATTGCAAGTTTAGAACTTACTGTTATATCTAATATATGGTTCATGAATTCCGTGAACAAACATCATTTGACAGAAGTTGATTTCTTGAAAATTTTGAATAAGTTGAAGATGAAGATATTTAGAAATCAGTTTTTTTGGTTCTTTTTTATAAAAGTATAGGTTATTAAGCAATTATGTAAGCCTTTAAGCCTTTATATATCTTGTTTAATCATGTCCATGATTACAAATCAAATGATTAGTGCAAACTCAAACAATATGAAAGTTTGGATGGTAAGCTTTTAAAGCTTTTATAGTTTATATATATTGCCTAATTGTGTCTATAATTACAAATCAATGTTATTATTAGAAAAAAATTTAGAAAAATTTCCGAAAAATAAATAATGATCTATTGGCATTATTAAAAAATAAATCAGGAATTTTATTTATATAACACTAACAGGTTATTAAATTTTAACAAAGCAAACATGTGCTGGCAGTATTTTCTATTCTTTCTATTATTTTGTATTATTTATTTTAGTTATTGTTGAATTAAATATTCTCATTGGATAAAAAAACTCCTCTGTTTTATTTGCCAATAAATGTTTTCTAAAAAGAATTTTTAACTGATAGTAATTTATTACAAAATCCATTCACAATACCTGACTCATTATAATAGACCATTTGTAAACCTACCAACATGAGAAATTTGGCAAGATTATTCATTTCAAAAAAAAAAATGGAATTCAATTTCATATTATTAATAGAATAACTGATTTATTGTTGAAATCTGCCACAAATTCAGAAAAATTGAGTATCTCATTCAAAATAATGTAACCATTTTATAGAATTCCCTATAAATTGGCTTCTCAAGTAATTATTAAAAAGCAGTTTCATTAAGATTCTCAAGTTCTCATAAATTGCATAATAAAACTTATAATTTTTATCATTTTTTCTGTAAACTTTTCTCATTTCATATTTTTCCATTTATTGCACTGGAGATTCATGATGAATAGGATTTAAAAAACATGATGTGAGGTGTGACAATCACCACGAGCAATAACATATCATATTTAAAATTAAAAATTGGAATAAATTGGAAAAAGGCATAAGCATTTTTTGTTATTTTTTATTTTATTTTTTTGATTTTTTCTTTCTGGAATTTTACTAAACTGTTATTACATCATATAAATTACTGCTTTTTTTTATTAATTATGTATTATTCATCGTATTTATTAGTTTTCATTGATTAATATTACAAATCTTGTAAGTTTACTTATTAAATTATAGATTGTTTACAAGTTAATTTATCATCAACTTGCAATAAACGAAGATATTTAAATCACATGGCCTTTATTAGGTTGTAACATAGATTTTTTGCTAATTACTTGATAAATCCAATATTATTGAATTATCGCTGTTTTCAATTTAGTGCGACCCCCTAATTTTCATCATGTTATAGGAAATCGGGTTTTCAGATTTTTCACGTGATGATCAACATTAAAAGCCAATAAAATTATTGTTATGACGCGATCATACAGTGAGAAATTATTGATGGCCAATAAAATTAACTGTATCACGTGATTAATTTCGAACGAAAAAAAAAAAGAAAAAAAGTACAATTTTAAAAATTAATAACTATGTTTCCTGTGATTCAATTAAAATAATTTTTAATATTCTGAAAGAACAAACAAAGCTTGTCCTAATACTTTAAAATTATCCTAATCTGACATGACTATACATAGTTATAACCATTTAAATATACATAATACTAATTAAAGCATAAATTATGTGAAATATATAGTTTGTTCAATAAAACTTAAACCTATTAAAATATAAATGAAAAAAATACTTAATTAGCATTTGTTTAACTTTATATAATTAAATAAAAGTAATATTTTTATTCGAAAGTATAACTTTTAAGACAACTTTTTGCATAAAAAGAAAATCGAAGGAAATCTGTAAAACTTCATAATTTGAAACCCAACTCTTACCTGGTAAATATCATACTTATAACTTTGCAAGTGTATAGTTTGTCATAAAAAGTTTATGAAATCATGGGAAATTTACAATGAAATAAATTTAACAAAAAACTTTTATTAGAAGCAATTGAAAAAAAATAGAGGAAATCGGGGAAATCAAATTAGATTTACATCTGGTTACACAATTAGGGGTCGCACTAAATTGAAAACGGCGATAATATATTTATTATAAATTCGAATGTCATGATTTTATTGAAATGACAAGTTCAAAATAAATCACATTTCATATACTTTACATTTTATAGTCCTAACTCTCCTTTAAACGTGAACTCTTGATATCTATAAAAAAAAGTATTGACCATACCCTGCATAAAAAAGTGGATCGTCTAATATCATGTGTCTGCGCCCTGGTGCTACAGTTTTTTAGGTTTTCATTTGGCTTATTAGGCTGCATAAATGATTGGCGTAGATACGAAATGAAACTAAAGTAAATGTAATAAAAAAAATATAATATAAAAATTTATTAAGCTATAATAATAATTTAATCGTGACAATGAATTCTTCTTATCATTGTCTTTTAGGAATCGTCATTGTTTTTTTAAAAAAAAAAATTATCAGACGAAATTTCTTTTTTTTTAAAAACAATATTTTTCAGTTTTTTGGATTTTCCCACATGATGAAAAAAAAAAATCCTCTCAAAATTTTAGGCACCAGGATTTTACTAGGGAGAATCGAAAATTTCTAATAACAACAAAACAGGTATTTATTACGGTTTCTAATTAGTGTGATAGGTAAATTTTTTTAATAAATAAAAATCAGCTGCGGAATTATTATGAAAAGCGATCATGTGGACAGATCCAATTTAACAATCAAATTAACAAAGTAAATTTTTTTTTCAATTAGAAAAAAATAAAAATAAAAAATAAATTTTTTATTAATAAAAATAGAACTAATAACCATAATGTTGATATATAATTATGATTACAATTAATAAAACAAAAAATAATTAAATTTTCTTTTTTTTTAACGAAAAGTACGAAAGTAATATGATTTTTCAATATTAGTAAATACAACTGACATTACTACACTTTTGAGGATATTTTTTCATTTAATCTACAAAAGATTATTTCATAATAATAATATCACCTGGTTAAATTTTTAAATCTATAAACACATTCTTAGTTTACACATGTAAAGGAAATAGCATCATATATCGTACAAATTGGGTTCAAATAAGTGTATTTTCAATATACTATCAGAAAACATTTTTTAAATGAGTTAGTAAGTATTCATATTTTTAAATACTTATATTATTCATTTAATAAAATGATTTAATTTAAAATCCTTGTTGCTTTATTATATCTTTTCAAATTTTTTCGTTTCACTTATTCACTTATTCACTTTATACAAGTCACATCATTTGAATCAGCCATGATTAACAATTCTTCAGATACATTATGGATTTTTGTGTATATTTAATCAAAGAATTTAAGGCTTTAATTATTACCATATCTATTTATACTACAAGTTGGTATATTCAAGAATATTGTTTAACTAGTTTAATGGAATGTTTATTTTAAAAGAAGAAAAAGAACGATATAGAGTATTCAAACCTGAATTATTGAAAATTTTTTCATGAAATATATTTCTACATTTACGAAATAATTTTTTTTTCTTATATGAATAGAGTTATTACATACAGCTTAAATTCTAAAATAAAGAATAAATATATTTTAGTCATATCTTGATGATAGCCATTGTTTATATATTTTTTACATTAATACAATTATGTCTGTGTACTTTATTATCATATATACGCACTATATAGCATTATATCTTCATACGCTCATATACATTTTCAAATCCAATTAATTATAAAGATATCATTATCTTATTTTTTATTTAAATAAAAAGCTACATATTTAAGTCGATATTAAATGTAACCTCAAACAGAATGAGAAACGGAAAAGAAAAAATAGTAAAATCTATAATTAAAAGGAAAAAAGAAAACAACAAAAATAAAAAGAAAAAAAACCCAAAAATAAAACTAAAAAGAGAAGAAAAACTCTATAATTGAAAAGTTCTATTTGTCTATGGGAGTAAAAATCTATATTCCAGTTCACATCTTCAACTGCCCTTCAGAATTACCCTGATTAATAACCATAATTGCATAAGAAGTAAGAATTTCACCTGGCGCCAACGTTAAGACACCTATTTTAAAGAAAAAATGAATTGATACATGCCCTACAAAATTTACAAAATTTTTTAGTCACTATCACCTCATACCATATGAGGTTTACCACCCTGTTAATTATGCCTAAGCAGGGAACCCCAGGACACCCATGTGGCCATCATAGGATCTATGGTAAATGGACTCATATAGTATTCAATAACAATTACTAAGTAAGTGACATGGCATAGGAGATATGTGTCATTTCCAACGGGAACCTGGCCTTCCCTTCCATATGGATCAGCTTGGGGATCACCTATATGGCATCATTGTAGCTACGACTTCGTGCACCAAAGCAGATGGCTACTAGCCTGTAGCAAATGGTACGTACTACGAGCACATAAACCCCTATGTCAATTATGACAGTTCACCATCCGGAAGACTTTCAGTGAACCCTGCTGTGTTACACCTACACATACGTCCATCCGGCGAACTATTATAATTATACTTACCACTTAATGATATGACCTAGCCTTGTTTAGTGTTAGCTTGTCCCCTATCGAAGGAGCTCTAGTAGTAGAAGAGGGATCCGCAGGAGAATGAGAAGAAACGGAACCAGAAGCTAGAGCGTGAATAAAGGTGTTTTTCGGAGCGCGATGCGTAACTAAAGGAAGAATGATAACAGTAATAAAATTGCAGTATCGTAAATACAGTAGGTACCAAATTTGGCAAGAACCACAAAACGTCTAAACTGACGGGAGTATTTAGAATGGTTTTTCACTTACAAACAAGTTTATGAAACTCATTACCCATATGTTGTCCAAAGACAGTAAATACAGTTCTTGATGTTGATTTATCTTTTTTTTCCATCTTAGTATTTACTTGCGCGTGAAAAAAATTACTTGTGCGTGAAAAAAAGGTATTTATTTGCGCGTGAAAAAAAAGGTATTTACTTACGCGTGAAAAAAAGGTATTTACTTGCGCGTGAAAAAAAAGGTATTTATTGTATTTATTTGCGCGTGAAAAAAAAGGTATTTACTTGCGCGTGAAAAAAAGTATTTATTTGCGCGTGAAACAAAAGGTATTTCTCTTGCGCGTGAAAAAAAGATATTTACTTACGCGTGAAAAAAAGGTATTCACTTGCGCGTAAAAAAAAAGGTATTTATTTGCGTGTGAAAAAAAGGTATTTGTTAGATATCTATTTGAAAAGAAAGTATTTATAAAAAAAGTATGAAAGAGATGGAGGAGAGACATGTATTAAAAAAAAAGAAAAGAACTGTATAAATATTATTTTTTTTTGTTGTACAATGATCATAGAAAAAGTATAAATGATATCAATATCTGCAATCAATTAAATCAATTACTCAACAATATCAATACGTATGGTTATATTGTAGCTTTTAATTACCTAATCATGACGTATTTACCTTTATATACATCTTTTTATTCATATGAGTTTATAAGTTCGTGTATAATAAATTTAATATGGAAAGTCAAGTAAAACGGAGTCTTTAGTACGAACTTATCGGAATGCTGAGTGTATTAGTACAGTACAGTACGGTAATACAAATTAGTACGGTCGCTCAAAAATAATAATAATAATAATAATAATTTGATTTTTCGTACTAATAATTTTATATCATGACATCAAGTGATTATAATTTAATTTTTTTAGGTCAGTAAAGTCTAAATTGTATATTGCAGACGATAATCTAATGTAAGAAATTATTGCCAAAAATATTTATTCTTAAAAAAAGAGCGAAGTAAGATTTATTTATTTATTTATTTTGCAGAAAGGGAACGTTCGGTTTATATCCAATATATCCAATATCAACTAATATTCAAAGTTTCGTGGAATTTAGGATCTCCAATACTTGTAGTAACAAATTAAAGTTATAATTTACACGAAATAATTTGAGTTAATGAAAATCTTCAGAGGACAAGAAACAAGATAACGTATGAATGCATCACATATGATTTGGACTCTTCGAAGATTCACGCTTCAAAAAGCATGATTATTTTATTTACCTTACAAGATATTGAATTAATATATAAATGCTTATGCAAACAGAAATGAAGACATTGACTTTAGATTGAACCAATATTATATTTAAAAAATATGTATTAATATAAAATGTGGAAGTTTGGTCTTTTTTTTTTTTAAAAGAAAAAAATTATTTTCGTAGTTAATTATAACTTATCATACATATTATTTATAAATTTTTTCTCTTTCAGGGAAAAAAACCCCAACTCCCCATGAAATAAACGGGTTATTACGGGTATCACCAGGGAGCGTTAAATAAACACGTGATTAACCTTTTTATTAAAATTTCGGTACTTATTAAAAATAGTTAATCATTTGCGACTTGAAAAAACTCTTTCCCACAAAATTCAGGAATAAATTTTTTGACAACGTCGTGCGTTAATTTTTTTAAATTTTACAAAAACGTTTGTCTCCGTCTAGTCTCGTTAGAGTTTTCCCACCTTACCACACTTTCACACTCACTTTATTATTACCTTATTATTTACTTTTCTCGAGTCACTTGTCCATTTTCCTTGCCCTGTTGTCCTGCGTGTTAAAAGTTGGAACAAATTTTTTTTTACCGGTCTTTTTATGAAGTACCACTCTTCCTCTGACATAAACTCACAAAGCCTTCTCAAGCTCGGCCTATGGACTCTTCACCCGACTCTACTACCCCTCCGCCTGTTTCACAGGCTATTTTACGTCTTTACAAACCTATTACAAAATTTTTTAACATTTCCATGAGAATTTCCAAGCTTTCGCCCTACCTGTCATGTGACACTCGTGGCAGTGGAACTTTGTACAATACTAGAAAAGGACGATATTACCTTCTTCGGCTGTCTGAAAAAGCCGATCTTCCTCTTACGGAAATTGACAAATACCTGATTTACACCAATGATATTGAATTATCAAAAAATCATCGTCATACATTTCGATCTACATCTAACAAACCAAATTTAAATTACATTTTAGGAATCTACCTCACATTTGTCTTTTCTTTAAATAGACAATTTCACAAGGATGCTGTGAACAAATACTTTAACCGTTTACGCCATTTATTAAAAGAAAAACTCCTAGCACTACGATATCGATTAGAATCGACTGATAATAACGATAGAAAAACTAAAACATTTATCCGGTTCAGCTGCGGCCCCCACGTGATCTACCTGGGTTTTTATTTCCCTTGCGGCACGCTATATTTTGCACCTGGTGAGAATGTGGGCTCACTATGTATCCACCCCCCTGCCTTCGTACAATCAAATAATCGTTGGCGTTGCGGAGCTCATCCCAAACAGATCCGACAGGTCTCGCATACTACTACCCGTCATCCAGTAGAGCCTAGGTTCTACGCTGAACAGTTTAACCGTACGGTAAACCGACATCACAAGAATAAAAAGAACCACAAAGAAATTCATTCTAATCGCCTCGGCCTTAGCTATGTCGTTCAATTTAAACGATTTCGCTCAGTTGATTTAAATTTACCTAGCATTGATAACAAAACGGTTCAACCATATTACAAACAATACCGCACGTTACGTTTCGATGCGGTTCGTTCACCTCAACAGCAGGCACGATGGAATAGATTAATTACGTCTACACTCAGACGTAACCACTCCAACCAGACTATCCTACCTCGTTTACTTCCTAACTCCCCTGGACAGATGGTTTTTAAAACCATCCACCATCTCCCGGATCGTTACATAGGACGTGCACCTACACAACTTTCTGACGCTTTCAAAAATTCGCCTAACGGTCTTAGGCACTATAATCAAATACGCGCATGTCAAAGGATCAAAAATTGGATCCGTCGCACTAAAAAACGCAACCGTCTCAAGAAACAATTACCTCCTCTACCTGCTGGTTTTGTTGGAGACCAGCGTACATATTATTACGATACGTATAATATTAACCTGTTTGATTATAATATTAGACGACACTATAATGTCAGTTCGATCCCCCAATACAATTACGGTTATTCCAAAGCGGTTGAGCTATACCGCCAACATCATGCCAAATTCGTCATGATGAATTGTATACAATCACCTCCTAACGTTTCTTACCACATCAAAAAGAAGGATCAACAAATCTTTAATGATTCGAACCTCTATTTCCGGCGTACACCTCCCCCGGACAATGATTCGTACACTACCATGAGCGACATTACTTACTTCTCGGCTAGTGAAGGACCTTCCGTTGTGGAATTCCCGCCTACGCCGTCACATGATTAACTCACTTGATTGAGTACAACAACACCGGACCTTTAAATAATGCACCATTCCACACCTGACAGTATTTACGTGTGGTGTCTTTATGACAAAAGAAAAATACGGATTCCAGTGATATACATGAACTCACCTTTTGTTACGTTTTGTTCCTTTCCCTTGTATTTTTAGTTTTTCCTTTTTTTTATTTTCTCGTTCTTTTTTTACTGGTTTTGAAAAATTGATAGTCCGTTTTAGACTCCAGGTTATGCTTGATTGTTCTATAGAATAATGGGCAAGACGACCCCTTCAGGCTTCTCCTGAGAGGTTGGGTAAATCACTAGCTTAGAATTTATTGATCTTTTAGACCATGTTTATTCCTATTTAGCGTTCGACCCCAGTCGAGTCTATATCTTAAAAATAAAATAAAATAAAAATAAAAAAGTTAATCATTTGCAGTATGAAAGTGACACAGATAAGCTTTTGTGTTCAATTGGTCAGTTGAACTATGCCGCTTCATAGTTCTTGACTATATTAGTTATTCAATAGACTCCCAATTTGTCAAGTCAATAGTAGATTATATATCGCTATCCTTTCTTCTTCAAAAATTTTTTATCGCCTTCCTGCGGATTTAGAAATTAAAAATTTTTTCTTCGATTAAAATAGTTAATGTTAGCAAAACTTGAAGATGAATGTTTATTTTATTTATTACTTATTTCAATTTATTCAATATATATTATCTTTTATTTATTCGATTATATAATTTATTAATTAGAGTCTCTATTTTTATATTCATTCGTGGATTATAATATAGTTAGCTTAGTTGATCTACTGTACTAACCTTCTATATTTAAAATGTATTTAAATTTCTTAATCAAAAGAAAAAATTAAAAATCCATAAAGTACGTAATAAAAAATCTTTGCGCAAAAGAAGAAAAAAATGTTTCTTTAATTTACATGTTTAAAAAAAATATGATTATTTAAAATCTAAAATTAAAAGTTTGTATTTTGACGGTTTAACTTCAAAATTTTTTTTTCAATCATAAATTATGTACAGGGATATATTATACCTTCTAAACCATTTATTTATAATGCTTTTCAATACTTTTTAATCGCCTTTATGTTGCAAAATTTCTTATTGTATTTGATAATTTATATGATAAAATGTATAACTAATGATACGACGTGTTAGTCGTGTTACGGGTGGGACGCATTTATTTCACCGAAAATCATCTAATCGACAATCAACTTACCGAATACCGACAGTCATTTCACCGACGGAGTCATTTCACCTACAGTTGTTTACTTTCACCGACAGGATTATTTCTCTGTAATAAAAATACAAAAAAAAATAGATCATTATAAATAAGTTTTATTGTAAAATGTTATTTATTTAGCTGTTTTCTATACTTAACATATAATTTCATAATATTTAATGCTTTGCTTATAATCAAAATACTTATATATACTGTATTATAGAAATTCTATAAATGAAAACAAATAAAAACTTATGCTTAATGCTTTTAATACATAAAATGAATAAATTATATAAATTAATTAAAATGAAATATTGTGAGCTATTCCTCGAAGAAAGCCCAATAATGGTCTTCTTTATTAGAGAATTTTGTCATCTCACTTTATTTATATGAGTGGTAAAAAACGATTCATATTAATAAAATTCTGCTATGTTATTTTCACAATAAAAAACTATTATCGACCATTTTCAAAATGGTGTACGCAGTTTATTTGTGATTGTATATTCGAATACCAACATTCGCCCAGTTTTCATCCGTTTTTTGTCCATATTTCGTCCAGTTTTCGTCCAGTTTTCGGTTTTCTTCTTTTTTTATTCAAATTTAACTGCGTACATCATTTTGAAAACGGTGATAAATATTAAATTAATAAATTATGGATTATCAAATTTACAGTAAAAAAATTGAAATTCGGTGAAATGATTTTCGGTGAAATAACCCAAAATCGAAATGAAAATGATTTAACCCAAAATGATTTTCAGTGAAATAACCCAAAATCGAAATGATTTCATGAAAATGATTTAACCCACATGAAAAGATTTAACCCAAAATGATTTTCGGTACGAAATAATTTAACCGAATTTCTATATTAAGCATACGTTGTCGTGTCATCGTTAACATTATCACGTTACTTTTCGATTTTCTGTAGGTATAAAATGAGGTGCGTTGGATGCGATTTTTGTTTTCGTCGTTTTTGATTCCAGATAAAAAAAAAAAAATTAAATAAACTCTTTAATTATTAAATATCAAAAAAAAAATTCCAAATAACTTTTTAATTCAAAAATTCAACTCTAAATCTTTATATTTATTTTATTTATTTATTTATTTTTTTTTTTAAAAAAAAAAAATTTTCAAAAATTAGTATCCAATATAATTCAAACACCCTCATTTACCACATCCTAATATGAATCCAGGTCAACCTTCTAACTCGGAGAACCTTCCGCCTTCATTTACCAATATCTATCCTAATCCTCAATATAACAACGTCCTTACCATTTCTCCGCTACAGAAGAATGCAAACGTTTGTCACGTGACTACCGCGGTTCAGGATATTCATCCTCAGCACGTAACTCAAACGTTACAAACTACACTTTCAACTGCACCTTTTCATCCTACTACCTTTTTCTATAGTCCTCCAAACGAATTTTGTCATTATTATATTAATTGCAAAGAAATCTGTTACGATACTGTTGCTTATTTATTAAACAAATCATTAAAAGAAAATAACGTTAAATCTAACGAAAATGAATGTATTTTCTACTATCAACAACTACATGACGCCAGGTTTTATCAGGTATCATGTGAAATCGTTTCTCCTTTATTGATTAATAATTGTTTGAATAAAAATTTTCTTGGTTTTGAGTTTCAACAGAATGTGGATGAGAAATTAGCGTTCACTTTTGAACAAAAAGAAAATCTCGAAGGTTGGTTGAAACAATATTTAAGTCAATACTTATTAAAATAAAATAGGAAATTTGTTAGTAGATTATTGTGGTTTCTTTCTATCTTTATTTTATTTATTATATTTTTAAACAAATCATTGGTTTATGTTATAAATATATTTAATAAAACTCTGTTCCATCAGTTTACTTTGTGCCATAGTATTGAATCGTCAGTAACAAAGCATAATAAATAAGAGAACAAAGATTACCATTTGTATTATTTATATCTCAGCACATTAATAGTTCGCGTAATCGTGGAGTTAAATCATTGTTTATTTTTTCTATCGTCTCCTAAATCGCAACAAGCATTCGATACTAAATATTCAAAAAAAAAATCGGGCATTATCTAGATTAAGAAATCATTTCTAAATAAACTTTATTAGCATTAAACGTTTAATTTCACCAATACATTTTTATAATAAGTCTATAATTTTGTTCTAAAATTCATTATAAACCAATATACGATGTCAAACACGCATATAATAAAAACAAGTTCACTTCCAAAAAAATATAAAAAAAATATACAGTATGTAAAGGAATAAAATTAATAAGATTTTTTTTTCAAAATTTTATTAATTAAATATTGGTATGATATAATAATCTATCATATGTTTAAGGAAATTCATCAAAATAGTTAAGAAAAATGATAATCCAACGGTGAAAATCCTCAGCCGCAGTTTTACCTTTTTTTTTATTCCAGCTTTTCTAATAATACAAATCCTTTTACTTTGCTATATTCCAAGGAATTTCATGGAATTTATAAAAATTTCATGAGAGATTTGTCCGAAATTTTTTATCACTTACCAAGTTTATCAATTTATGATTTATAATGTAATTATTAAATTATCATTTATCGGTTGGCTTTTTATAATATATCTGTTAATACTGTAGGTACAGTAATTGAAAAATTTTTGATACTTTTTTACATTGGTCTTCATGATTTTAGAAAAACATCGTTTTAGAGACATTTTTTGTTTATAGTTTTTACTCAAATAGTAAGGTTAAACATAAACATTATTATTGACTTTATGAAATTGGAAATTTTATTTATTCTAAGCAAGATTTCTCACTCTTTTTTTTTTTGGTATTTGATCAAAGTATGGCTGACCTTAATGTAACGTTACTATTTTAATTTTTGGCGTCTGTCTGTAACACAGTATTCGTTTGAATGAATATCGAAAACGGCATACTTTGAATGAAAAACTATTCTTAAAAAGAAATATATAAAAGATGTAATATATCACCAACTTCCTTAAATAATCCGTTATTGTTTGAAAAAATAATAAATATAGCAGTAACAAAGATGAAAATCGATTTAATAATTCAGCTAAAACAATTAAATTGCTTTTAATAATTATTCAGTTAAAATTTTAGAGTATATAGTATTTAATTAAGGTACGATATTATTTGAAAGGTAAAGGTATGGTCAATTATTTATGGGTACGATCAATTATGTATAGGTACGATTTAAAATCATAACATAGCGAATAATTAATGGCGATCATTTATTTTACGTTTTGATCACATTTTCACAATAATTTATCATCAAATTTTTTTATATATAATGAGTTTGTTGATCGAAAAAGTTTTTTCTTTCTCCACTTTATTAATTTTTCTTCACTATTATTATTATTATAAAAATATATATATAATTATGTCTACTTTTATCTGAAGATATTGTTGATTTAGAAGAATTTGATGAACCGTTAGAATATGATCCTTTTGTAAGTAAAAAAGTAAAAAAAAAAAATGTGAAATGAAATTTATTTTCCAAAAATTTATGATTTAAAAAAAAATTTCAAGTAAATAAAATAAATTAACAATAGATTACATGTACAGTACATGTATATTACGATTTGTTTAAGTTTATACTGTATAACTAAAGTTGCAGGTGCGTTTTTTAAATAAATAGGATGGTACCGTACTTACAACATTGATAGTATTAATATATATACAAACAGTGTTGTGGGAAATATAACCGTTTAGGTAATACCTAAATTTTATTGTCGATCGTTAAGCTACGAGTTCGAGTTAAATTTCTTTGTCAAATGTAACTGACGTTAGTATTTATTGTTATAAATAATTATATTAATTGTATGCGGCTGTATTAAGTTTAAGTATCTAGAAATCATAAACGTTCTTGACCATTTGATCTATTTCATTTAGCTAAAGTAATTATAAAATTAGAAATAATTGAAATAAAGTTAATTTCATTAAATAAATATCTATTTTTCACAAAATTTTTAAATACAATGTTAAAAAAAAATTAATAAATTAATGTTATTCGTACTTTATTCATTTAACTAGAGTGATAATCGGACGAGTATATAATATTTGTATAGTACAATTTTGTAAGTTAGTATGTTTGTGGAATTTTTACTTTGTATGTATGATTTTTTATGGTACATATATACTTATCACAATATATAATAATAGGTATGTATTAATAGTATGATTTAAATTTTTTTATTACGTACAAACGAGTGAAACAACACATAATTATGTTTATTTAAATTTTTATTTTCATATTTTAAAGAAGGAGCGAGCGCCATCAAAAAGGTGTATGACGAGGCTGGTAGGCTGATAAAAAAGTATGATTTATATACGTATGTATGATTTTTTTTTTCACTACATACGTACAATTTTTCTATATTTAACAATCAAAGTAGTACGTACGATTTAAAATCATACGTACTAACAAAAATTGTACTATTTTACAAAATCCATACTATACTAAGATCGGATACACCCGGGTAATCGATAAATAAAATTAGTACTGATCTTCTGATTTACATGGTCATATGACCTTTCCAAAACTGCTGCAAATTTTCCAAGAAATTCCCCTTACTAAAATTTGTCAAAATTTTTCTGCGATACGACGATACTGCGCAAAGTTTTAGTAAAATTTGTAAAATTTGAAAATTTGTTCATTTTCAAAAAATGTAAATACTACTACTGTCAATAACTTTAATGATATTAATAATGTTAACTCAAATAAAAATAATGAATCAAATAATTCTTACATTAATACATTTTGTAAAAAATAAATAATAAAAAAAGTCACATTGAATATCATATATAACCCTATAACCCTATAATATTTTTTATCAAAAAAAAATAAATAAAGATAAACAAATAAAAAGCACATTTCTTTATACATAAAAAGTAAATTGCTTAGCCTAATAAATATTGACTTAAATATTTCTTTAAATGACATTCAAGATATTCTTTTTGACCAAAAGTTAATACTATATGTTCTTGTTCCATATTTTGTTGAAATTCAATCCCAAGAAAATTTTTATTCAAACAATTATTGACCAAGAGGGGAGAAACAATTTCGTATGATACTTGATAAAGTTGGTTATTATATTGTTGCTGATAATAGAAAATACCTTCATTTTCATTAGATTGAACGTTACGTTCTTTTTATATAGTTATTGGGTAAGAAGTATTCAATATGAAGATTTATGACCGTCGATGTTAAATGATTGGCCGTTATTGTGCCACGTAGTGGCACAATGGCCAATCATATAATGTTGATGGTCAAAATGGTAATATTGAATACTTCTTACCTAATAATGATTTTATTGTGGCAGACCACCAAGATCATGTTTTAAAAGTTTATTTAAACTTTCTTTTAAATTTCAATTTTTACGCGTCTTTTTCTTTACGCGTTTAAAAGTTTATTTAAACTTTCTTTTAAATCCACTCATTTGTACACATTTTTTCTTTACGCGTTTTTTCTTTTACACATTCTTTTTTATATACACTTTTTAAATACCCTACTTTTTCTTTACACATTTTTTTCTTTCAACCTATTCTATTATTTATTTTAATAATGAAGGAAAAAACTAACAAAAATAAAATAAATAATGATAAAGTATGTTGTTATTATTACCAAAATATTGTTATATTAATTTGCTAATACAATATTTTCTATTCAAGTTTTATTTACCTACAGAAGACGAAATAAATTTTTTCAAAAAGAAGTCAAGAGTAGTAAATACAGATAAATCCACAGCAAATTGGGTTCACCAATTTGAAAACTTTCGTGAAAAAGCTGGATTTACTGGTAAAAGCATAGATATTACTGATAGAAAGGAATTAGAAAGTCAAATCTGTAGTTTCGTAACAGTTATGAAGACTAATTCTGGTGAAGAATACAAGGCTAGATCTATCCTCAGTGCTATACATGCATTAAACCGACATTTAAATGATTTATCATCACTATCTCCAATGGATTTTACTTCAAGAAAACAATTTCCAATATTATATGATGTATTAGATGGCAAAATGAAACATGTAGCAGAACAAGGAAAGGCCAATGTTCAAGGAGCTGATGGTCTTTCTGTTGAAGAATGTAAAAAAATACTGTATTCACCAGTATTAAACATTGACACACCCACTGGATTGTTAAAAAAAGTCTTTTTTTTAAATGCATTATTCTTAGCTCTTAGAGGTGGTGAGCACTATTCATTACAATATTCTCATTTTAAGTTTAGAGCTGATGGTCAGGGTTTTGATGTAAATATTCCTCGAAGTAAAACAAATCAAAGGGGTATTAATGGCTCATTAAATGATGAAAAATTAAGAATTCCATATCATCCAATGATAATGGAAACTTATAACAAATATTTTTCTAAAAGACCAGGTAATGCCGATAAAGAATTCTATTTAAGAGAATATGTGTCTGAAGATGGTGAGTTCAATGTACTTTATCATTTTATGCTATTTTTTTCAGTAATATGACATTTATTAGTTAACTTATTTATTTATTTATAGATTATATTATTTATAATCGTTGGTTTCAAAAGTTTCATGTTGGTGAAAAGCGATTAAAAAATTTTTTACATGAAATTGTAATAGAATGTGGTATTGATATTGGCAATCGAAAGATCAGCAACCATAGCGCCCGAAAAAGTTTAGTAGGAATATTGAAAGAACTTGGTACTAGTGACAATGAAGTTATGGCAATTACCCGGCATAAATCAAATTCAGGATTTACTAGCTATGAAAGAACTAAAGAAAAAATGCAGAATGTTAGTTTAAACAACTTAATGAACGTTCTTATAGATAATGATCAAATGGAAGGCTCGGGTGAGTTTTAATTTTAATTTTTAAATTGATTTTCAATATACTAATTATACAATATGGAATTTTAGATGTTTTAGAACCTTTGCCACATTTTTCAATGCCAGATAAGCAAGCATTAACACCAATTGAACTTAAATCAACTTTTACTAGTGCACGCGAAATTTTTAAAGGTAATTTATTAATAGTTTGTTTTATTTTATTTTATTTTATTGATTTCTATTAATAAAATTAGCTGAAATCAATCAAGAAAGCCGAATTCCATTTTCTAACAAATCCAACAAATTGACAATAAATGAAACTGAAACTTTACAGGATATTTTTAAAGGAAACGGATCAATTTTCAATAATTGTACATTTGTATTCAATAGATAATACTAATATAGTTTAAGTAACAGTTTTTCAAATTGCTGTACAGTATTAAGCTAAACTAATGTAAATGATATTTGGTAAATGACGTAATGCGTTAGCAATATTGAGCGGAAATTAAATAACATGATCCTATAGGGATGCCCAATAAAATGATTTATTTAATAAGTATGCAACGATATCGTTTGAGATTTCCTTACAAATAACATGATAATGATAATAATCATTTGGTGGTCGAAAGAAAAAATCAGTAGGATGAACGGGTTGAGTTCTAAGATTTGCGGAAGAATCGGGTTGTACATATGTGTTGGTAACTGTTGGTTGAGGCTGAGAGTCAGGAGGCTGCATCTCGCTCAGAGCAATTGAACTTTCTTGCCTTTCATGAAATGAAACAGGAGTGTCTTGTGGATTGAAAGCAGTAGAAATAAGAAGGTTTTGGTTGCTTTCTGAATCAGAAAACTGACCTTGTGAATTCATATTTAAAAATGCTTGACTTCTGCTCTGTATAAAACGATTTTAAAAAATTTTTTTATTAAGTTGTTTTGTAAGTAAGAAAAAAAAAAATTAATATTCCTCAAAAAAAAATTTACCAGATTATATATCTATTTACTGATTTACTATGTATTTACCCGTTCAGGTATTGCAAATCATGGTCCTTTTTTGACTATTTGGGCTAATCCCAAATCGGTTTGATCGACACGTATTTATCTATTTTAATATTTTTTTCCACAACAAAAGGGGATCAGTGGCCAGATTTTCCAGAACTTCATCGCGAGTGGTGTAAATTTGCGTAGTTTTCACACGTGTATTATTTTGTAGATCTACGCTTGAACTAAATTTTACTTTAAAATCTGCTTCCCAGAAATTAGATGACAAACATAAAATTGATATATCATTAAAAAAATCCTTTATTTTTGTCTCTTTTTCAACTGGTAAACCTTCCCAATCTTTTAAAGTTACAGAGTTGTAACTTATTCGTACATGTTATAGGCATTTTTAGTAACAAACTGGAACGATTATCTTATTTATTTATTTTATTTCAAAGAGAGGAGTAACCAGAGAAAAATACATGATAGGAATAAACAACTACAAGTAGTGAAATATCAATCTATCAGAGGTGCGATGGTCATGCATCCCTTCATCACGAAGATGAAAAGACCTCACCCTCCGAGGAGAACTACTCTAACAGTAAAACTACGCTACTGATAAAGAAAAGAGGCCAATAAAATAAGTAAATCTAAAAAAAAAAACAAAAGAAAATAATATGTACAGTGGCCTGCCAAAAATGACCGACCACTTGCGATTTTGCGATAATTTTGCCGATCATTACCAATTTTGTTTTTTGTTTATTTACGTAACGGACTAATAAAATTGCGCCAAATTTTTTTTCCCACCTCTCCCAAAACATTTTCTTCAAAATGTAATTATTGTCAATTTTCAAAAAGCTACTTCCTAAATAAATATGACTGACAAACGCAAAGAGCTCTCTATTTTTGAACGTGGTGAGGTTGTTGGTGCTTGGAAGTGTGGAATTAGCGAACGAGCTATTGTTGAGAAATTAAACCACCCCAAAACGACTATTCATGACGTTATTGAAGCTTACAAAAAAGATGGACTGGAGATGCCTCCACCTCGGGTAGGTAGGCCACCTATACTAACAGAAAGAAATGGGCGTTGTTTATTAAGAACTCTTAAGAAGGATAGACAAGCAAATATTAAAGAACTACATGATAATTTTACACAAACTGCCGATGTAAAAGTAAGTGTAAGGACTGTTCAACGTTATCTTCATGAACAGGGATTTTTTGGGCGAGCTGGAGTCAGAAAACCTTTTGTAACTGAGGCTAATAGAAAGAAACGATTTTCCTGGGCTAAAGAGAGAAAGGATTGGGGGGAAGAGTGGAAAAACATAATTTGGAGCGATGAGTCAAAGTTTGAACTTTTCAAAGGAAGTGGTAGAAGGTGGGTTTGGCGAAGTCCTCACGAAAAATATGATGTAGGGTGCCTTATTCCAACTTTTAAGTCAGGACAAGATGGTATAATGGTGTGGGGATGTTTTACGTATAATGGGCTTGGCCCTTTAGTTAGGTTAGAAGGAAGAATTAATGCTGCAGCGTATATAGATGTTTTGGACGATCATTTACTTGGGTTCATAGATGATTTAGGTGACGAAGAAGAGTATCTTTTTCAGGAGGATAATGCTCCAATCCATACAGCAAGGGTTACTACGGAATGGAAAAGGGATAATGATATTGAAACTCTACCGTGGCCTGCACAGAGCCCGGATATGAACCCCATTGAAAATTTATGGGACGAGTTGGAAAGACAAGTCCGGGCGCGCAAACCACTACCAAAAAATCGGGAGGAACTTTGGTCTGTACTTCAGGAGGAGTGGGGTAAAATCAGAATTCATAAACTCCAAAATCTTGTTAATAGTATGCCTAACCGAATTAAGGCTGTATTAAAGAGCAAGGGTAACCCCACAAAATATTAATAAATGAGCCTTAAACTTTCAAATTTTGCCTTTCGAATAAATCAATTTTTTTATAAAATTCACTTAATAGTTTTTGAGAAAATTAAGTTTAAATTTTCGTAACGATTTTATAAATTTTTTATACCTCGCAAGTGGTCGGTCACTTTTGGCAGGGCACTGTATGTGATATCAGTAATCGCTATAAACTGTTAAGATCCCCAGTGGGTTTAAATTAGAAATAAAATATTATTGAACATATAAGAATGAAATTGCGATAGATCGTTATCAAGCGTTGATAGCCATGGAAGGTTATGTAAAAAGTTGGATGAAGTAAGGTATATCCATAATGTATTTGAGTCGATATTTCTTCTTGAGTCATTAAATGGACAATGATATCCTTGATTTGTATTAAGATCTCTAAAATCTGAGCGTCTCAATTGTCGTTGTTTTTGTCCTGGGTCATTATTGTGTGTATGATCTCGACGGTAGTTGATAAAATGTGATTTAGTGAGTTCGTTCCTTTGTTTAAATAGTTTCCATGATTGAGATCTTTGTTTCCATACAGATTCGTAAATGTCTTTATGTAGTGGAACGATTATCTTCGAAACCCCCTAAATTCATCTAATTATAAACTAATCAGTCACGTGACTTATAATAAAAATTTGTTATTAATAAAAAATAAAACCCGGGTCCCCGGGTCAATTTTAAATTTTAATGTTACGTGAACCGAAAATATTAGTTTGCGTGGCCTAATTACAGGACGATTACAGGACAATTACAGGACAACACTGTCCGATTTTTATCCGGTAATCATCCTGTAATCTAATAATTTTTTTATCAGATGATTTATAGGGGGGTAGCGCAATAATCTACTATATAACGTCTAAAATACTAAACATTCAGAGAAATGTAACCAAAGAAAAATATTTATTTGAAAGTCTCAAATTTCGATCAAAATACTTTCCCCAAAAAGCTTAATTGCTTTATATGTATAAAAGGTATTACTAGTTTCGAACTTTTTTTGCACACATTATTTGTATCTTTAATATTTTATTTATTTGACAATTTATAATCAGAGAATACGTTAATGCTAAATATTTTATGCTTTTATAGCATTTTACCCTGAAATCTTGTTTGTTTCAGAATATAGAGCTTCCGTTTGAAATTAAAATTTATTATATTTATAAATATTTAAGTACGAATTTTAATTTTACTAGGTGCACCAGTGATTGATCGTCTTTCATTACAATAACAGTATAAATTTTCAGTTAGAATTAAGAGATGATCACCTTTGCTTCTTTGGAGAAGCGCTTCAGATAGATTTAAAAACAAAGAATTATGTAAATTAATAAGTAAATAATAATTTTATTGCACACTAAAAAAGATTTAAATATTTGAATGTCGTGAGATTCGAATCATACTCGTATTTACATCTCAAATATTTTTATGTATTCAAATATCAATTTGACTTTCAAACGATAACTAAAGTGATCATTTTTTAGCATTACATATTAATGTATAAAGAATTTAATAAAAAATATATATAAATAGTAAATATATGTTGTGTGGTTGTGTGACAACTGTTCGATTTGTGTCAGCTGACCGTCAGATGACGGCTACCTAGTAATGCTGGCCAAACACTTAAGGCATCGGGTTGATAATGTAGACGTCATCTGACGTAAATCGACGACTGACGCACATAAACTATTATAAATTGAATTTTATTCGTTTACAGCTCACCCTTACTAATCATGACTATAATAAATTTTAAAGTTAAAAAATTATAACGAACTTTTTTAATTATAAATTCGCTATAAAAGGATATTTTAATTAGTAATGGCTATAACGAATTGGAATTTTTATATGGAACAAAAATTGTGGTGCTGATATTGAAATCACCTAATTATCCATATATATGACCTGAATTTTTGGTTTACTATCTCAAATATTTATTATTATGCATTAAATAACAAAAAATCACAAATGACGATTAAATATAAAAAGAGATAACGGACATATTTATAACAATTATTATGTGTAAAATATCATTTACAAGAGAGGTCTTTTGTATTAATGATATAAAATATATCTTCATAATGTAAATGATAAACTATAAGAATAAATTTACTGCATTTTACTATTTAAAGGTAAGTTACAATGCATAAGAACTTCTATACGTGAATAAATTTATTAAGCACAATGTTACACACAAAGGACAATTTAATCTAATATTTTACTTTATTGTTTGTAAACAATTTAAAAGAGTGAGTAATACTAATTGAAAAAGTAATTAGTGAAATTGCTTATATGTAGTAAATATATATCATATCATCACTAAGACTTTATATTTTAAATTATTAATTGTCAACACTATTAAATGAAAGTTATTGTCAAAGGTTTATTAAATATAGTCATAAAATATATATATAGTCATAAAAACGTCTCCGTCTATTAAATAATATATTGACCGATATCATGTGGAACTTATTAATAAATTTTCATTTTCACGTTAGAATAAAATTTAACGTTGTTTATTTTTCGAATATGATGATTAGTTTGTGATAAATAAGTTTGATTGACATAAAAAAATTTGCGAATTAACTTATCTCTGAAAAAAGCTTATAAAAGATATTATTCTCAAAAATTAAATCGATCTTTCTGACAAACAATATATGTAATATCTTGGTTATTAATCTAACAAGTATTGGCTCAGATATCGAGTTAGATGAAATTCAACTGATACAAAGTAAAAACAATATTTTCTTGTAACAAATTCTGTTGAAGTTCAACACTATGAAAGCTTTCCCTATAAAAATGAAATGTGTTAAATTTATTTTAAATTCGTGCTCATGTGTAATAAATGTCTAAAAAAGCACCATTTTGTTTAATTTTGTTTTTTGTAATAAGACATAAATCGAATAAAATGGTGCTTTTTTAGACATTTATTACACATGAGCACAAATATAAAACAAATTTAACACATTTCGTTTTTCATATCGGCGGA